TCGACCACGCATGGCGCGCGGTGAGCACAGGCGACGCGGGAGGCGGAAGGCGAAAGGCGGCGTGGCAGCACCCGTGCTCCACCAACGCCGACGCTTAGGCCCTTCTGCTCGACGAGGCGACGACGGAGGATGAGGTGTGGTAGGCAGCAAGCAATGTCAACAACGGCTTCAGGGGGTGGGGATGGCGACGGAGACTGCGTAGAGGCTTGCGACGGTGGCAGCGGCTCATGACGACAACCCGGCGAATGGCGCGAGGTGCGGAGCGGAGAGGGCGACGGCTTCTCCACACGCCAGGCCACCGCCACCGCCGTTGTCCTCTTGTCCCGTCGACGTGGTAGATCGGAGCAGCAATGGGGGTGGCGATGGAGGCCGACAATGGGGGCGACTATAGGGCAGGCAACGGAGGCCAAGACGAAGATGCCTCCCACTCTCTCCTTCCTCGGCTCGGGCTGGGACGAGGCAGCGACGAACGAGGGCATAGGCAGTGGAGGCCGGCGATGGATGTTGCCGCCGCTACACGCGCTCGGCAACGCCTCGGATAGAGGGTGTGCGTGGAGAGAGAGGAGAAACAGGCATGGGTCCCACGGATGGCTAGCTGGCTTTGGCTGGCCAAGTTTGGCCAGCAAGGGAGGCAGTTTAGCTAGCCGGATAGCTTGGCCATTCAAATAGCAAATATGTTGGAGTACAATTTTTATTAAAATTACTAAATTTTAGCTTGGAGAGTGGGATATCAAGGCTCTTGGAGATGCTCGCATAAATAACATAAGTGCTTCTATGGTCCTCAAAAAAATAAACTGCACGAGTATTAAAGCTCACGGATGGTTTAGACTAAAAGTCACTTGACAGAGTAAACGTCGTTACAGAGGGTCAGTTTCGCCCCCGAGGAAGTTTGAGTGCCATAAAACTTACTAAGTCTAAATCTCAACATGTAACCATGCCACATTATTATTCATTAGCAATAATTATATATTTAATCTCATGCAAACATACAACATAATTTATAATTTATTTAATTCTAAAAATCAAAATACAAATATATTCAATTAATCATCACCCCTATATCATTTGCACAATATTTTAACAAATCTACATATCATTTTTACCATATTTAATATATACTTATCAATAATCAATATGTTAGTACTAAAGCACGCGTATCATTTGACTGATAAACCCTAATATTTTATTTTTTTTGTTTTTACTTCTAGCTCGATTGTTAAAAATAAATATTAAGAATTAGTTAGTAATTCCCGGCGCGGGGAATCACATGGTTCTCAGCATACATACCCGCATCTTTCCTCCACCTCACCGATGCCTCCCATCATGGGCACGTGTCTGCGGTCTACCTCCACATACCACAGCGGCTACGGCGAAGCCAACTCAGGTGCGGATGACTAATGGCAGGAAAAATATACAGTGCAAACCACATATGTAGTGTAGCGAAAACTTGGAAACTACCGTTGGATCGAGAAATGAACATCCGATAGTCGTTCATGTCAACATGAGTTAAAATTAACTCTCAGTAAAATTTTAACTAACGAGTCTTTTAACTCACGAGTCGGATGTCCGTTTCTCGATCCAACGTGCACTGTGTATTTTCTTCTAATGGCAGGGTACCAGATTCCATGGAAGCTAAAGCGTTCTTGTTTGTTTGTCTGGTCGTGGCTTCAGGTCATGCATTTCGTCGTTAGGATCGGAGTAATATCTAGACCAATCAACTTTACTAGAAACTGAATCTTTTGGTCGGCCATAGCCCTGCTATATCTTAGTATATCGAGAAGGTAAAATTTGCCACAGGACATGAAGATCGTGTCCTTTGCTGTAAGACATCCGAAGATCGTGAATCTTTTTGTGGACACTGTAAAAAAATAGTAATTAGCTGCTGGACACTACTTCTATTATTTTATTATTTCTAGTCAAAACGAGACACTACTTCTATTATTTTATTATTTCTAGTCAAAACGGAGAGAGAAAGAGTGGTGTAAGTAATAAAATGCCCCTGGACACTATTTAGCTTCTCCTTCCAGCCGAGTAACAGAGGAGAGGGAGAGAGTAGGGCGTCGATGCTCCGGTGGCCGGGGATGGGCGACGTTGGTGGCGGATGATGTTCCCGGGCGATGCGCATCCGGGGAGGGTGGTGTCAAGCAAAGGGGGAGAAGGAGATGGCCGGAACGGCAACACAAAGAGCTCAGCTCTGGCTGGCTATGGTGGTGGCGGTGGTGGCCTGACTCAGAGGTGAAGAGAAAGGGGAAAGGGGAAAAATGAACTCTCCTCGGTGAGGCAAAGCCTATGGTGAAAGGGAATAGGAAGGGGAGCAACGGAGGAGGAGATCGGCCGGCAGTAGGTGGCGGCCGGTCATGGCAAGGAGAGAGAAATTTCGCCGACGGCGGCGCCGCCCACTTCACCGCTGCCCCATCCGAAGCGGAGCCTCGGGGAGGACTCCTAGCGGCAGCGCACCGCCTCGTGCTCCAGCCCGGCCATCCCCGCGCCGCCCCGTGCTTCAGCCCGGCCATCCCCGCCCCGTCCGGTTCGAACTGCGCCTCGTCGATGCCGCTGCTCGAACTGCGCCTCGTCTCCGAGTGTATGACGTCGAACGGGTCGATCTCGGCCTCAGCCTTGTACAGCTTCCACGCCTCGGCGCAGCGCCACACAACGGGGGCGCAGGAGGAAGAAGATGAACAGAGAAAGAGGGATTGACAAGTGGGCCTATGGGCAAACTTGTCTTTAACCAATGTCACTCTCCGTTTTGGCCGGAAATAATAAAATAATGTGAGAAGTGTCCAGCAGCTAATTACCACTTTTTTACAGTGTCCACGAAAAGATTCACGATCTTCGGGTGTCTCGCTGCAAAGGCCGCAATCTTTTGGTGTCCCGTAGCAAATTTTGCCATGGAAGAACGACATGGTGCAACAAATTTGTTCTGTAAACGTGGAGGAAGTTGGTGGCGGGGATACGACGCGGAGGAATTGCAGAGGGCGGGGTGGCGATGTGGTGGAAGGGGGCGGCGCACGGTGAAGAAAGCGATCGCAGTCCCAGTCGCCTGAATTGACTACGCCTTCCAAAGTTTTTTTCAAACTTTCAACTTTTTTATCACATCAAAACTTTCTTACACATACAAACTTTCAACTTTTCCATCACATCATTCCAACTTCAACCAAACTTCTAATTTTGACGTGAACTAAACACACGTGCGCATTAGTTATGCGGAATAGCTATCAATCTGCCGACAGATTTTGTATGGCTTAATCTTGCACTTTTTTTTTATTGTCGGATGTATTTGAGATTTACGCTATGCTGAGATTCGTGCATGGCATGAGAAACAAAAACTCTTACAGGTACCAGGACTCGAATCCGTGATTTTTAACTCATCCCTTTCACTGAGCTAACTTGTTTTTGTAGTTACTTACACTATAATTGTATATTAATTACATATGTAATTATAGTGCATTTACAATGTAAGTCTGAAAATTACATATGTAATTTTAGTAATTACATATCTAATTTTAGTGTATTTAAGTCTGAAATCTACTTAAGCCCATTTGACCCCACGTGAGTTTTAGATTGTCCACGTGGCCCATTTATTTGTTCTTTTAGTTTTGTATGTGTATATTGATGTCATCCGTTATATGTTGATCTAAAGGTTAAGAAATCTGTCAAAAAAAATCTGTCACATGATGTATAGGCAGTCCCTTACTTATGTATGGATATGGGCTTTAGTTTTCCTGACAAAATTGTTCCTTGCTAACCATGATTATAATATGATAAGTAACTTTTAATCTGTACCACTAATGAGCTTTAATATCTGTGCAGTTTTTTTTTTTGAGTATAGAAGCACTTCTTTTTTTTGAAGTGGAAGTATAGAAGCACTTCTCAATAACACCAAAATTGAATAAATATACTTCGTGTCTCACGCAGTGCTCTGTTTCTGTTTTACCACTCGATGACAATTAGTGTTAATTAACTAACTAACTACTCTCTCCGTTTCACAATGTAAGTTATTCTAGCATTTTCCACATACATATTGTCTAGATTCATTAACATCAATATGAATATGAGAAATGCTAGAATGATTTACATTGTGAAACGGAGGAAATAATAACTAACTACACATTGACATTATGCAGCGCCATTTTGATAAGAACTCCATCTGAAGTAAAGTGCTCTTTAGATGAGCTATATATCTCTGTGCTACATACTCCCTCCGGTTCTATATTAATTGACGTTTTGAACCAGGTTAAAGTCAAACTTTTATAACTTTGACCATCAATAAAAATATTTAGTTTAAAGAAATTAGAACAACATATATAAATTTATCTTTCAAAACACTATAATAAAAGTAAACATGCATTTATATATTATATATATTATAATAGAAAAATAATGTCAAAGATATATCTTATAGACCATGTCATTATCTAAAACGTCAATTAAAATGAAACTGGAGGGACTACGGTCTTAAATTCAGGCTGCCTCTTTCTCTAGGCGTGTTGGTATGGGTCAGGGAATTGCTTGATGCGAAAGTGATGGCGTGGTGTCCGGCACAGTTGAAAAAACAAAAACAAAAAGCAAGAAAAGCTGATCTGCCTTCTGCTGCATGCCCTTGGCCATGGTCCCTACGCCCAACAACATGCTTCATTGCTCCCTCCATAAAGCGTGCCACCCTCTGTATGTCTACTTGCTGTCATTCCTTTGCGATGTGTTCATATGTTCTTGCTACTTACCGATTAACCGAATCTTTTATGCTCTCAAAACACTCTGCTGATCTTTTATGTACTCTCAAAGAGTACATGTACATATGGTTTACCTTTCTACGTGAAGTAACTGCGGCATATCAGTATGTCATTCACAATGTGGTATCGAGGTACACTTTTGCCGGTGTCCATGGAGATCTTTTATCTGAAGATCACTTTTCCAATTCTCTGCAGCTATCATGTGCAGTGCAGAAAGGAAAAAAATGGATTTGGTATAAGAGTTAAAAGAGCAGATGAATGGTGTCACCGTTAATTGTCAAATGATTGGATTTTATAATGAACAAACGCCTTTATTACAATGAAGACCTACAAGCTTTAATTTTGTGCCTGCTGCCGGAGCAGCATTGCGGAGCTCATCCATGGACAGAAATGCAGAGGTGCGAATTCTGAAAGAAATTAATTATCTCTTCTTGGGTGCAAGCCTGGATTTGATCTTCTCCACCTCCTTGGTGCCAACCTGGAAGGCCTTGGTGAGCACGCCGTCGGGCACCTCCGGCGACGCCGCGAAGAGCGTCATGGCGAGGGACTGCGTGCCGGGCAGCTGGCTGTTGAAGGCGGAGATGACGGCGGCGGGGGTGTCGCCGTTGTTCTTCTGGAAGTGGAGCAGGCCGCGCGGGAAGACGAAGACGTCGCCGGCAGAGATGGTCTTGGTGTACAGCTTGTTGGCGGTGGTGATGAAGCCGACGTCGAGGGTGCCCTGCAGGACGAACACCATCTCGGTGGCGCGCGGGTGGGTGTGCGGCGGGTTGAGGCCGCCGGGGGCGTAGTCGATCCGGGACATGGACACGCCCAGGGTGTTGAGCCCCGGCAACTTCTCCACGTTGGCGCCGGTCACCACCGAGCCGTACGTGTTGTTGGTGTTGCCGGCGGCGGCAAGCCCCTTGAAGTAGAAGTCGTCCTCCGTCACCGCCGCCTTGCACGCGAACCCATTCACCTTCACGGCTGCACCAAACAAATTTATTTTCTGTAATCTAATCTTGCTCGATCGGAGAACAAGACAAATAAATTCTTTGACAAAACCTGAGGTGAGGTCAGCGACGCAGATGTCCTGGAGCAGGTCAGGGTCGCCGGCGGTGGACGGCGTGGGGAGGAGGGCGAGGAGGAGGACGGCCACGACGGCACACGGGAGAGAAGGCCTAGCCATTGCTATTGCCACTGCCTGCCTACTGGATCGATCGCTCTCCTGCTTGTTCCAGCCTGCCTGTGCTCTTTACTGCTGCTTTGTGCACACACCTTTACTACACTCTTTCTGGCTGTTATTAATGGCGGAGGGAATGACTTTGTTGGATGCTGAATGGACCGAAGATATGGTAGTATTTATAACAGGTGGGGACTTGGGCGCACAGTGGCAGTGGCAAATGTAGCAGCAGCTAGCTAGGATTGCGTCCTTTCACCCCCAAGAAATGTGCTGGCTGGGAGTAGGAGGGGGTTACTCAAGGAGTACACAAGGAACAATGCGATGGGTGGTTATTTTATTGTGCATCTCTTGATTTCGTCCCGTGGGCAGATTTGTTTGGTACAGGGGCAAAGGGTATGGAAGTGTGCTACATCGGGCCCTAAAGAATTATTGTGAGTGATGCCTTTCTGCTTTTGTAAGCCAGAAGTTGACGCAAGATCTTAGAAAGGTCACGATGACCCTTCTTAGGGCGTTCACTGTATATCGTGCTGTCATTCGGCCCAAGCTCTCCACGTCGGCTAGCTTTTCTGTGTGATTTGGTGCCACGTTAGTGGGTGGGCCCACCAAGTTGAGGAACGCGTGACCAAAGATGGTCACCCGTTCTTCAGCCCGTTCGAAGATTGGTGGCATGGGGAGAGAGAGTGTGTGGTTTCGTGCATGTCGTCGTTGCCTGCGTCGCCTAGAAACGGAGAGGGAGAAAGAGACGGAGGGGAGAAAGGTGACAGAGGAAAGGGATCTCGTCTCGGCGGACGGAGCGGATGGAGGGGAGCCCACCATCCCCCATCTTTCGTGTCCCCTTTCCGTGTCATGCTGAGGAGCTTGCTGTCGTCCCTCTCTCCATGCCAAGAAGGACGCAGCTCCTGCTCTGTGCCATCGCGGGGCTCGTCGCCATCTCCCACTCCTCCGGAATGCTCGACAACCGCCGCCTTGATCTGGAGGCTGTCGGCGGAGGACACTCATAACAAGCAGGATAGCATGGCCGCGACGCCCTGATCTAGTTGCCGCCTAAGCTCCATGACTAGCCTCGAGGTTGTCATGGGAAGGGGAGGGAAACCCAACAGAGGGGTTGGGGAAGCCAACATCGGCTTGCTCGCTAGCCGTCCCTAGCCTTGATTTGCGCTCACCGATGAGGCCAGCCTCGATCCGCTCCACTGGGAGCTCGATGGCTACGCTATCCTTGATCCACGCCCACCGCTGAGGCCACTCCATGGATGCTGCCACCAAGACCCGCCTCAATGTCCTCTGCTGCCAACAACGTGGGGACTGGCAGGGGGAGGAGAGGCGCTGGTCGGGGGAGGAGATGGCAGGCATTGGCCAGGGGTTAGGGGAGGAGAGGCGTCGGGCGGGTCGCCAGCGTGAGGAGAGGAGTGGCGTGAGGATAAGGGAGAGAAGGGGGATGGGGGATTTTATTGTAAATTTTTGACCTCCAGACAAATTATAGAAAATATGAGAACTGAAACAAAAGTTTTACGGGCTAATATATAAAATTAAAGCCACTTGTAATGCCACTTGCGTCGTAAAGAATTCAAATTTTAGAACCATAGCCCTAGACAACGTAGTACTCTGAGGCTCCTCATATGAGGATGACACACTGTGAACACCCTTAGGTCATTCATAGTGGGCTGATGTGTCATTCGGCCCCACGGCACCAACAAGGAATTTCGGCTTCACGTTCGTGCAGCAGTGTACCCTTGTGAAGAGCCACGGATCTCTGCAGAGGTCCACGTTCTTTGAATCTCCTGAGGCAAACCGATGAGTGGCGCAGCCGTCCTCCCTCTGCCCCCAACCTAGCGACAAGTTACCCACCAGCCACCTATCTTGACCCGCCGCCCTCGAGCTCGATCCCTCATCTATGGGAGCTCGGCCCACCGCCGCTAGACCTCAGGAGGAGGATATCTGAACCGGCGGCACCAGCGAGCATGTCGTCGCCTCGCCAAGGAAACTCCTTGACCTCCACCTTTCTTTTCTTTTCCGTGCCGAGGAATCAGGTGGAGATTGGGGAGGGTGGGTGAGGAGGGGTAAGATTTTTTTAATTATTCTCTAGATTTCAGGGTGTTGAGTGTAAAATTTTAACAACAGTATAAATTTTGATATAACAGAGTCTAAAATACAAAAATATCTATAGCACCCATAACAAGTTGCTTGAACTGTGAAGAGAGTTGTTTCAAAGTAGTCATCCTATTTTCTGCACTTCGAGTTTTCTCATAGTCATGTCTTGCACTCTAAATGGCCTTAGCAATCCGTTCTTCTAGGTACTTTGGATTCTTTTGCTCGCTGTAGAGTATTACACTCAACATTTATGTGCACATACAATTAGACACCCGCAAATTCCCTGACACGCACTAGATCAATCTATATAAACTTGATCGGTTTTTCTGCAACACAACATGGGATGTCGCATTTGAGTGACACCTCCTGCAAGTGCTCTCAACATCCCTCTTAGACAATTGTCCTTTGTTGCTGACAAATTAGGGCGCACGCCCGAAGGTTAAAATCTTCCACTTTGAGATTAGCTGGATCTGTTTGCCAAGCTTCCATCAAACCGTTGCGGAAGTGTGGGAGGCAAGATTATCCCACCATGAACCCCTCCACATCATATACCACAAGTTTGGAAGTACGGCAAAGAAACTGAGGAAATCAAGCTGCAAACTCATTATAAAGTCAAAATTACAACCCCATATGGCACTAGAGATCATCTTCTGGCTTGACATCGCTCAAGAAATGTCACACCCTGAAAATTTAAAATTTATAAATTGTTGTTTAAATGGAATTTTTAGAAATAATTTTTTAAAAGTCTTGAAGAGAAGATCTAGTTTTAATTAATAAAATCCAATATAAAATGGGGCCAGATAAAATTTCATTAAATACTTTGCTTAATTCTATAATTCCTAGATTTTTCTGGGATTTATTTGAGCTAAGGAAGTATTTTTAATAAATGGAATTGCATTTAAGAAATAATTTAAATTGAAAAAGGTTTTAAAAAGTCTTCTTTTGGCTTTGGGCCGAAAGTCGGCCCAAAATCCCTTCTCTCTCTCCTCGGCCCAGCCGGCCCAGTCCGCAGCCGCAGCCGCCCGCGCGCGCGCGCTGTCGCTGACAGGTGGGTCCCACCTGTCGGGATCGTCGTCCTCCTCCGGCCGAAACCCTAGCGCGCCGCCGCCGCCGCCGCTTTCCAATCCGGCCGCTCCTTTCCTTCTCCGGCCGAATTGAAAGAGGGGAAATGATCTCCGGGATCTCCTCTACCTTTTCTCCTTTGGAATCTTTGGCTAAATCGTTTTGGAAAGAGTTGGATTCGAGTTCGTCTCGGATTCGTTCTTCCCGATCTTTCCTTTCTCGTCGCCGGCCGCCGTGGGCCTTCGCCGCCGCCTCCGAGCCCCTTTAAAAGGACCCTCGGTGTCTCCTCTACCCGTCGCCACCCTTGCCTTCGCCTCTCGTCGCCCGTAGCACTCTAGCACCGTGTGCCCTAGCGTCGCCGTCGCCGCCGCCGCTCCAGCCGTGCGCCGCCGTCATTCCAGCCGTCGTCGTCGCTCGGGAAGACCGCCGTCGTGGTCGCCAAGTCGCTGCCGTCCTCGTCCGCCCCTTCGCCGTCGCTGTAGACCGCCGGAGCACCGTCGCCGTCGTCAAGCCGAAGTCCGCCGCCGTTTCTTCGTCGTCGCCGTCGCCGTCCGTTGGTCTTCCGCCGCTCCCTTGGTCACCGGTGAGTTCGCCGCATCGCGCTCTACCCGTTGGTGTCCTCCGTTCATGCCGAAGCGCCGCCGTTCGCCGGCGAGCGTGCGCCGTCCGAGCCGCCGAGCCGCCGCCGGTGGTGACGTCATCGCCGACGTCATCGTCGCCCTCTCCCGTGAGCCGCCGTGGACCCGATCGATCTCGGCCGTCCGTTTTGGATCAAATCGATCTCGGCCGTCCGTTCGCGTGAACCGTCGCCCGTGCGCCCGGTCCACCGAAACCCTAGCCCGCTGACGCAATAAATCACTTTTTCCTTTTCAAAAATAATTTATTATTGCGTCATAATTCAATTTTAACCGATATAAGTGTTTTAATCCGATTTAATCTTTAAAAATTCATAACTAATTCATCTTAGCTCGGATTTAGTTGGTTCAAGTCCCTAAATTTTTCTAAAATTGAGATCTACATGTTAAAAATATCCACATGTACTGTTCATGCTTGTTTATGTGCTGTTTTGGTGATTTTGCTCTTTTCTGCTTAGATTCAGTCGTTTCCGGAGAGTCCGTTTTCGCAGAAGAAGAGTTTGAAGAGTTCCAAGGCCAGCAAGGCAAGTCACACAGATCCCAAACAACCCTTTGAGCATGTTGATCCTATTTAAAGCTATTGTTTCTATTCAACTATTGCATCTATTTTCGAATGTCATTGGGTGGAATTGACCTATTCTTTGTTATGGCCCTTTCGTACTTGATTACCTTATTCCTTGATACCTTGGGTTATTACAATTTGACTAGTTGAGCTTTATTTATATTGGTTCAACTAGATATTAGATATAATTGCTTAGCCCTGCTTAGAAACATTAGTACACATTCGGGATAACTAATGACTCACTATTATTTAATGATGGTTTCATGATAGTTCACGATGGTCAATCGTGATTAGTTAATTAATTAATGTGCCAACTAAAACCTGGTAATGGTGGGTTGTGAGCACATGGTTTTGTTGGTCGTGCTCATGACAATTAAGGACCGGTTCACGAGTTTCGGTTGTGAAACATTAACCGTGCCAACCACAAGCCAGCATGGGCAACGGCTTTATCTTTTGTATAGCATGGTTCATTGCGGGGCACCAGACTGAGAAGTGGCGGAGATAAGCCCACGGGGGTCGCTGGGGAGTCCATGCCTTGTTTATAAGGGGGTGATTATGATCCAGGAAGGTGCGCTGCAGTGGATTGTGTTATGCGAGGGGTATTGTCACAACTCCTTTCTGAGATACCGTGGTGGTATTGAGGCACATGGTGACATGATGTGGGGTTGTGTCTTGTGGGTACAGTGGTACACCTCTGATCAGAGTAAAACTATTCGAATAGCCGTGCCCGCGGTTATGGGCGGGTCTAACAATGTCTTTCGTGATTAGTCTCACACCTCTCATCATTGTAAAAGATGCTTAAACTGGTAATAATTTGTTTAGCTCCTGGTTTGGAATGGTATATTCCTGGTTTGGAGATAGAACTGTGCAGCCGGGGTGGTTGTTCAGAATGGTTGGGCCTATACAACAGGGTATGTTGTATAGCGTTGGATTAATATTGTTTAATTACTTAACTGTTTTATCAAA